CATTCACCGCTACAAGCAGCGGCAGCTGGCAAGGATGGAAGGCCGAGACCCGACTGTGGAGGAGGGAGGAGAAGTGTATGTCAGGCGAGCAAAGCGGGATGGGCTGGACCTGGGAGTGTCGCAGCAAAGGTGGACAGTGAAGGAGGTGCAAGACTCAGGGGTACTGGTGCTAGAGGGAGAGAATGGGAAGCGGGTGATGGACCACGTGACTAATGTGGCCTTGGCCGGGAAAGCTAAGGGAGTGCAGCAGTACTCTGGTCCCATGACCAGGGCGAGGACGGCGGCAGCTGGTCCTGGGAGGGGGCAAGAGTGAGTTCGGTACCAGAAGCAGAACTAGAGAAGAGGGATAGGGGAAGAGAGTGTGCAGGCAGAGGCCACACCAGGAGGACAATCAGTAAGCCTGACGAGGGCAAGAGAGGTTTCTGGTAGAGGGGGGGGGAGCCAAAGGGGTGAGATCCAACGAGTCCAGTCCGGGGAGATAAGGGAGGAGAGAGCAGCGAGGACTGGAGTCTGACAGAACAAGCAGCAGGGAGGTGGGTAGGTTCCGACACGCCTCCAGCAGCCCCAGAACCTCCAGCTCCAGCGCCTCCAGCAGCAGCACCTCCAGCTCCAGCGACTCCAGCAGCAGCACCTCCACCTCCAGCTCCAGCGCCTCCAGCAGCAGCACCTCCAGCTCCAGGGACTCCAACAGCAGTACCTCCAGCTCTAGCGCCTCCAGAACCTCCAGAACCTCCAGCTCCAGCGCCACCAGTAGCAGCACCCCCAGAACCGGCACCTCCAGCCTCACGGTCCCCAACTCCAGGGTCGACAACACCAGCGCCAGGGCCTCCAGCAGCAGCACCCCCAGAACCGGCACCTCCAGCTCCAGGGTCTCCAACTCCAGGGTCGACAGCACCAGCTCCAGAGCCTCCAGCCCCAGTACCTCCAGCAGCAGCACCCCCGGAACCGACACCTCCAGCTCCAGGAGCAGCACTAGTCCCGGCAGCTCCAGTACCTCCAATACGAGCACCTCCAAAACTAGAGACACCAGCACCCCCAGCGCCTCCACGACAAGCAGCTCCAGCAGCACAACTCCTCAAGCGGGTACGCGACGCAAGCCACTCTCGTGCCTACTCTGGTGAGACAAGCCTGCGTCATGAAACGAGACCCAGAGGAACGCCAGCAGACTCAGCACCCCCAGGCTCCGCACCCCCCAGCACCTCACGGACGAGCTTAGCACCCCCAGACTCCGAAGCCGCAGGCTCAGCACCCTCAGGCTCCGCACTCCCCAGCACCTCACGCCCAAGCTCAGCACCCTCAGAATCAGCACCCCCAGCAGCACCTCCCGCAGCAGCACCTCAGTCGCTAGTGACCTCTACAGGCTCAGCCAAGGGGGGCGGGTCTACCTGAGACACACCTGAAGGAGCAGGACCCTAAGGGGGGAGGGGGTCTACCGGAGGAGGACCTGGTGCGAGGAAGAGCGGCGGGGGGGGGGGAGAGGGGCAGTGCGGTAGGGGAAGAGACGGTAGAAAGGAACCGACTCGTCAAAGGTGACGTCCTGAGAGGGGAAGACACGGCGCGAGGTGGGGTGGTAAAACTGCTAGCCAGGCGCGTCAGGGACAAAGCCAAGGAAGACACAGGGAATGGTGCGGGAGGAGAGCATGTCCGCGGACGTATCGCGGACAAGGGCACGAGCACCCCAGATCTGGAAACGCGACGCATCGCCAACCTCCCCTGTCCAATGCAATGTGGGCGAGGTCTCCGGCAAAAAGACACGGGGCCAGAGGTTGAGCTGCTGCGCGGCGTACCGGAACGCAAACGACCACAGAAAATGGGGAGCCGCCATATAAATCAAGTTTACGAGCGACCTCGATGACTTAGCCAATGCGGCGCTCAGCAACCCGATCTTGCTGCGGTGAGCCCGGAAGCGTGAAAGATTGCTCCATGCCCTCCCCCTGACAGAAGGCCTGCAAGAGGTCGGAGGTGAACTTACCACCTCTGACAGAGTGCAGACGCAGGACAGGAAGGTCCTGGCGGAACCTGTGGCAGAGCTGGAGACGAACTGCTCGGATCCAAGGGATCAGGACAGCAGGGACCTCACCCTTGGTGCGCAAGGGGAAGACCGTGGTGTACCGCGAGTAGTCGTCGACAACCAGCAGAAAGTACCGCTCACCGCCCTGTCCACGAACGCGGGCTAGGCCCCACACGTCCATGTGGAGGGTCTGCAGAGGAGCCTCTGTCGGGGAAAACGAGGAGGAGTGAGGAGCGGCGCGCTGCCGCCCCTCGACGCAAGGAAGGCACGGCGGCGCAGGCGAGGCAGGGAGGGGAGGGAGAGACCTGGGAAGACTAGACACAAGGAGGCGAGGGTGCATGCCACGTAGACATGGCAAGGAGGGGTGGCCTAGGCAGTGGTGCCAGAGAAGAGTCGGGTGCGACAGGAAGCGGCACTCACAAGGGGAGGCTACCTGACCTGACGCAGAAACCTGACCAGTAGCAGCTACCTGAGGAGGCGCAGTCGTTAGTGTGTAAAGACTCGACCCTGGCCGACGGGTAAACGTGGCCAAGTGGCGGCCTGTCCGGGAGCACGTACAGATCGCCACACGCTGTCCTCTAGGGGTAAATGTGTCAACCCACTGGTCCTGGAGAACTGCATTGCTCACCAAGTTCGTAGAGAACGAGGGGAGGTGGAAGCCTGTTACTGAGCCAGACGGAACCGCCGGGCACGGAAGCACAGTGGTGGACCGTGCAAGAACCGGGCCCCCTGAAGGGTCAGCCAGAAAGACTGCAACAGGTGCAGGGAGTGATGTGAGTGCAGTACTATCACGGAAGAAGCACCGGGAAGCACCTGAATCAAGCGTGAAGGTGTGCAAGGCCTCAGCAGGCGCAGTACCTGAGGAAGCAGACTCGCTAGCACCTAAGGCAGCAGCCTCACTAGCACCTAGAGCAGCAACCTCTATACCGGGGTCGTACTGCACACACAGGTGACAATCAATCTCAGCACCACCAGGCAAAGCAGACATGGCAGTAAGGATGGCGTCATAGTCTAAAGCAAAGACAGCAACGCCCGACCTAAGCAGCTCAAGCCAGGGGGGGATCTCAGACTTGTCGCCAAACTCAGTGCGCCAGGCGTCAGTCAAATAGGCGAAGCAGCATAACTGTGCGTGACCAGGTGTCCCACAGGTCTCACCAGCTCGACGACCTGTGCGAATGACGTACAAGCAGCGACCCGGACTCGGAGACGGCCCACGCTGGTAAAGCCACTCACGAACCTGCCGGGGCGTAAGGGTCGGACGCCGCCGTAGCTGCATCTGGCCACCGCCAGACACTTCGCACCAAACAACGCCACAGGGACTACTACGACGGCTGCCACCACTCCCACTGCTGCCACCACTGCTGTCACCACTCCCACCGGTACGACAAAGGGAAGTCATGGCGGGTAGGCTAGGAGGAGCACGACCTCTAGGGCAGTACGGAGTGAAGGCAGTAGCACGAGTAGCAGCAGCAGCTAGAGCAGCAGGGCAGCGCGCGGCCAGAGCAGGGCGGCGTGCAGCCAGAGCAGGGCAGTAGCAGGCAGCAGCAGGTAGTAGCTCCTAAGGCAAAAGCACATAGGGCCCTTTTTTTTTAATTTATTTAGGGTTTAGTAGGGCGCTGGCGCAGGGCAGGGCGCTGGCGCAGGGCAGGGCGCAGGCGCAGGCCAGGGCGCTGGCGCAGGGCAGGGCGCCAGTGCGCGCAGGGCAGGGCGCTGGCGCAGGGCAGGGCGCTGGCGCAGCCTGCAGCACCGCGTGACGCGAAGGGCAGCAGAGCGCGACGCGACTGGCTGCCTTAGGGCGCGACGCGCGGGCTGCAGCAGAGCGCGACGCGCGAGGCAGCAGCGCGCAACTCATGGGCTGCCTTAGGGCGCGACGCGCGGGCTGCAGCAGAGCGCGACGCGCGGGGCAGCAGCGCGGGCGTAGGGCAGGGCGCAGGCGCACGGCAGGGCGCCGGCGCAGGGCAGGGCGCTGGCGCAGGGCAGGGCGCTGGCGCTGGGCAGGGCGCTGGCGCAGGGCAGGGCGCTGGCGCAGGGCAGGGCAGGGCGCCGGCGCAGGGCAGGGCGCCGGCGCAGGGCAGGGCGCCGGCGCAGGGCAGGGCGCCGGCGCAGGGCAGGGCGCTGGCGCAGGGCAGGGCGCTGGCGCAGGGTAGGGCGCCGGCGCAGGGCAGGGCAGGGCGTGCGCGGGGCAGCGCGACGCAGGGTAGTGGGGTAACACAGTAACCGCAGTCGGAAGCTAAGTATGGTGGGCCCGAAAAAAAAAAACGGTCCTATGGACCTACTGCTTTGAAACCATGTCAAGATAGCAAGCAGTGATGATTGCATTGAATGAAATGTGGGTACAAGTACTAACCCTAACTTCGGGCTGTACCCCATATGGGCTACCCCACTATAGCGTACACAGAACTAACACATATATAGTTTGACATCTTATTATGATTAGAGGCAATGGGGGGTTCCTCACAAAACCTGCCACAATAAGAGTCCCCCTACCCATTCAAGAGTCCCGGGGGACCTTTTTACCGGCGTGCATTTTAGCCGGAACTATACGGTACGTGAAGTGAAGATTATGCTACTCTTTAAAATCAATCTTTTGAAATCAGTCGTCGAGTGCCGTTTTGGAAACACGCAACAAAAATGAACCTGTCTTACCGTATACCCCGGTGCGTACACACATGTAGAATGAACATTGAACAGGCATCCCATGATGAAAACCCGATAAATTGCCCGATGAAAGTTGTCTTCCAGCACAGCACAGACGTTTTGGGCATTCTTCCTTCACACGTCATGAATCATGATGTCTCCCTTCACCTCGAAAATGAAAATGATATCCAAAGAATGTGACCGTCCATCAAGGCAAAGCAAAGGCTTTACTCGCCCGCCATGTTGGTTGCTGATTTGCAAACATGTCTTGTCTTGTTGCAGCATCTCTGCTTCAGCACATTGCAAACAACCGAAAGCCATGTTTCACATCTGTGCGTACCCTCATCTAGGACTAAGACTCATGCACGGGTATCCCCGATAGGAGCCTCTGCCACCAAGTTGCAGACGTCTTGGGCGTTCTTTTCAACCCATTTGTGCGGTCCACATGCACGAGGCCAAAGCGGCGCGAGTACCCCATCTGCCACTCGAAGTTGTCCATCCACGACCATGCGATGTACCCCCTCACGTCCGCCCCTTGCCTGCCGGGCATGCGTGCAGGGGTGAGATGGCAATGGATGAACGCACAACAGCATGTGTCTGATGATGTCAGCATGCTAGAACAACGCCAGCTTAAGGATGACTGAAGTCAGCACACACGAGACAACAAGAGCATTCATGCGTGCATGCGTGGAATGGTCTGAGCATGGATGCCACAGCATGGCAGTGATCGGGTTAGGACCAGGCGGGCGGGAGAGGCTCAACTTGCATTTGTTATGGTTGCATCTTCACCTTCCCGTTCGTTTGGATTAGCACTCATCCCTCGAGCAACAGTGGGCGTGGGGCATCAAGCTACAGCAGGCGTGAAAGAACACAGGGTCACGGGGGTGAACCCACCTAACGACGACGAGTAGGTGGGAATGCGGTGGGGATCATTAGTGACTGCAGAACGTGGAGGCCACAGAGTGGCAGTGACTTCAACAAAACTGCTTGGTAGCGCAAGTCAGACCTACATGATGGCGGCGAGAAGGTGGGAGAGGTACGCGTGGTAGTACCACACGCGGTGTGGGTCACTCGTGGCCACATGGAGTGGCAGCGACTGGTCGTCCTCCTCATCTGGACCTTTCGGGGTGTGCGGAGGTGTAGGGAGGTGTCGGGAGGTGTGGAGAGGTGTGGAGAAGTGTGGGGGTAGGTGGGATGGCGTGGGGAGGAGTGGAGAGGTTTAAAAATTTTTAGGGTGTGGCTCACTCGTAATCCTCATTGGTCCCTGCAAGATGGGGGTGTGAGAGCTGAACTGACACACAGGTCTCAAGAGATTCTCATTCTCATCTTAAGGTGACAGGGGACGGCGGTGTGAGACAAACAAGGGGACTTATGTGTGAGTGATGGAGCGGGAGAGGAGCGAGATGGAACAGAATTTGAGTCGATTCAGAAAACAGACCCATCACACATGGAATGAATCGAAGGGGCACGCCCAGACCCAGGCAGCAGCAAGGTGGCCTTTGATGGCACCTTCCTTATCTTTGAGGCGACTATTTCTTTTGGAAAGGAGAATCTGGTCAGAATGCATGGCATGTGAAATGAGAATGCATGGCATGTGAGATGAGAATGCATGGCATGTGAGATGAGAATGCATGGCACGTGAGATGAGAATGCATGGCATGTGAGATGAGACTGCATGGCATGTGAGATGAGAATGCATGGCATGTGAGATGAGAATGCATGGCATGTGAGATGAGAATGCATGGCATGTGAGATGACACAAGCACAGTACGTACACTGTGAAACCACAGCACGGCAGTACCCTTTTCTGTGATGTAGATGGGCGGTGCCCCTTCTGAGGTGGTGATGTGCATAAGCAGCTTTTCAAAGCCCCACGGCACCTCGTACAGCCAGGGTGATGCTGCCTGGCATGGTGCAGTTTGGTGCATGGAGAGGGGGAAATGGGGTGACATGACAGCAGTGAGCAGTTTGGGCGGGGCGCCGCATGTGGTGGTGATGTGTATGAGCAGCGTCTGCAAGCCCCACGGCACCTTGTACGGCCAGGGGGACGCGGCCTGGTGTGATGCAGGTTGGTACATGTGCATGGGAACCAGGTTGGCACATGTGCATGGGAACTAGGTTGGCACATGTGCATGGGAACTAGGTTGGCACATGTGCATGGGAACTAGGTTGGCACATGTGCATGGGAACTAGGTTGGCACATGTGCATGGGAACTAGGTTGGCACATGTGCATGGGAACTAGGTTGGCACATGTGCATGGGAACTAGGATGTATGCCATGCGGTGTAGCTCCAAGTGGAATAGAGTGAAAAGAAGACACGCCAGAACGTGCCTTCCTGCCGAAGTTAAGGGGCTTCAAGAATGAGGAGGAGACGGGAGGAAAGGAGGGGAGGGAGAGGAGAGGCGAGGATGGGAGAGGAGAGGAATCACCTGCTGGCCAATCAGGCGGCCATCATGTTCAGCTGCCATGTGATTGCAGTGCGATGCGTGGAAGAATGAAGAGTAGAGGAACGGCATAGAGGTGCATCACGTGGGCATGCCATGAGTTGTGCGATGCATGCATGGAAGGGGGCCACGCACAGGTAGAGACAGACACAAGTCATGGTCGAGAGAGAAGATTACGACGGAGCACAGTCGAAATGAAACGGGAAGACAATGAAATTTAGGAGAGAACAGTCACAACGAAGCAATGAAGGCTCACACCATGACCAGTAACATGCTCACACCATGATCAATAACATGCTCACACCATGAACAGTAACATGCTCACACCATGAACATGCTCACACCATGAACACTAACATGCTCACACCATGAACAGTAACATGCTGATCATCAAAGTAGCTCCACAGCCTGCCTTTATCTTTCCCCCCCTGCGCATGGGCATGTGCATTGTACCCGTCCTCGCTGGGGTCTGCATGTGAAATGTATCTGGACGTGTAGTGGTTGAGGCCCACAAAATCCACACTGCCTTTAAGCGAGGCAGCTTGTGAGGGGGAGAAGGAGGGCCCACGTAGTGGTGCATGGCGGGTGCATAGGTGCCAAAGAATATGGGGTGCGGCAGCCTGAGGAGGGAGGGATGAGAGAATGGAGATTGGGGGGAAATGGGCAAGGTAGAAAGAAGGGAATGGGTAAGGTTATGATGCGACTGTCATGTGGTACCTGGGTGAACGATTAGGCACACACGGGGTCTAACAGGAAGCAGACACGCAAGAGGGTGGAAGAAGACAAGCGGAGCCACCCACCATCCGAGGCTGAACTGGATGCGCCTATCAGCAGCTGCCACGTCATCAGGGTGCTGTGAGAAAGGCTCCGCCCATTCGCTGTCCACGGGGATGCCGATTTGTCCTCCCTGCTGAGGCTGGTGGGCAATGAGGTACAGGGAAGAAAAGGCAGAGGGAGAGAGAGAGGGAGAGGGAATAAAAAGATTCCATTACGAAGATGGAGGGGGTGGTCAAATGGGAGTCGAGCAACAAAAAGATTCTTCCAGCCGGGGTTTCATGTTCAGGGCTCTGTGCATGGAGAAGTTTGATGGCTTGTTGCTCACCCACAACAGCTTCTCCAGCATACCAGCAGCAGTAACCCCCGAGACACCGACGTAAAAAGATCTCCTGTTACATTCTGTACGAGCAGCCCACCCACCTACCTGTAACCCTCTCCCGTAGCAATCCACAGCAACACCCAACACATCTGCCTGGATACTCACTCTCCTCTGCGAATCATCAGTCTCCGATCTACCTACCTGAAACTCCCTCCTGTAGCAGTCGACAGCAGCAGCGTGAGCCAGCAGCATGTGGTGCACCACCACATACGGCTCCACCGCCCCATCGCCCTCCGCACAGCACTGCCGGTCGGAGCAGCGCCCGGGCGCAAAGTCCCCCACGGCGTAGCCCTTGAGGGCAAAGGTGTAGGGCTCGTTGAAGGTGAGCCAGTAGGGCACTCTGTCGCCCAAGAGAGAGAAGCAGAGCCGTGCATATTCCCTGAATGCACCACTGGAGGCGGGGAGCGGAGCGGAGAGGCAGGACAACAGTTGAGTGCAAATCTCAAATTCGCCCATGGCATAGCCCCTGGTCGCAAAGGTGTAGGGCTCGTTGAAGGTGAGCAAGTGAGACACCCTGTCTCTGAAGAGAGAGAAGCAGAGTCGTGCATATTCCCTAAATGCGGAGCTGCAGTGGGGGACGGGGGAGGGGTGAGAGGTTGGGTGAGGGGGAAGGGCAGACAGCTGGGAGCTAAGTCCCCCCACAGTGTAGCCCTTGGTGGCGAAGGTATAGCCCTTGGTGGCGAAGGTATAGCCATTGGTGGCGAAGGTATAGCCCTTGGTGACGAAGGTATAGCCCTTGGTGGCGAAGGTGGTGGCGAAGGTATAGCCCTTGGTGGCGAAGGTATAGCCCTTGGTGGCGAAGGTGGTGGCGAAGGTATAGCCCTTGGTGGCGAAGGTATAGCCCTTGGTGGAGAAGGTATAGCCCTTGGTGGCGAAGGTATAGCCCTTGGTGGCGAAGGTATAGCCATTGGTGGCGAAGGTATAGCCCTTGGTGGCGAAGGTATAGCCCTTGGTGGCGAAGGTATAGCCCTTGGTGGCGAAGGTATAGCCCTTGGTGGCGAAGGTATAGCCCTTGGTATAGCCCTTGGTGGCGAAGGTATAGCCCTTGGTGGCGAAGGTATAGCCCTTGGTGGCGAAGGTATAGCCCTTGGTGGCGAAGGTATAGCCCTTGGTGGCGAAGGTATAGCCCTTGGTGGCGAAGGTATAGCCCTTGGTGGCGAAGGTATAGCCTTGGTGGCGAAGGTGTAGCCCTTGGTGGCGAAGGTATAGCCCTTGGTGGCGAAGGTATAGCCCTTGGTGGCGAAGGTATAGCCCTTGGTGGCGAAGGTATAGCCCTTGGTGGCGAAGGTATAGCCCTTGGTGGCAAAGGTATAGCCCTTGGTGGCGAAGGTATAGCCCTTGGTGGCGAAGGTATAGCCATTGGTGGCGAAGGTATAGCCCTTGGTGGCGAAGGTATAGCCCTTGGTGGCGAAGGTATAGCCCTTGGTGGCGAAGGTATAGCCCTTGGTGGCGAAGGTATAGCCCTTGGTGGCGAAGGTATAGCCCTTGGTGGCGAAGGTATAGCCCTTGGTGGCGAAGGTATAGCCCTTGGTGGCAAAGGTATAGCCCTTGGTGGCGAAGGTATAGCCCTTGGTGGCGAAGGTATAGCCCTTGGTGGCGAAGGTATAGCCCTTGGTGGCGAAGGTATAGCCCTTGGTGGCGAAGGTATAGCCCTTGGTGGCGAAGGTGGTGGCGAAGGTATAGCCCTTGGTGGCGAAGGTATAGCCCTTGGTGGCGAAGGTGGTGGCGAAGGTATAGCCCTTGGTGGCGAAGGTATAGCCCTTGGTGGCGAAGGTATAGCCCTTGGTGGCGAAGGTATAGCCCTTGGTGGCGAAGGTATAGCCCTTGGTGGCGAAGGTATAGCCCTTGGTGGCGAAGGTGGTGGCGAAGGTATAGCCCTTGGTGGCGAAGGTATAGCCCTTGGTGGCGAAGGTGGTGGCGAAGGTATAGCCCTTGGTGGCGAAGGTATAGCCCTTGGTGGCGAAGGTATAGCCCTTGGTGGCGAAGGTATAGCCCTTGGTGGCGAAGGTATAGCCATTGGTGGCGAAGGTATAGCCCTTGGTGGCGAAGGTATAGCCCTTGGTGGCGAAGGTATAGCCCTTGGTGGCGAAGGTATAGCCCTTGGTGGCGAAGGTATAGCCATTGGTGGCGAAGGTATAGCCCTTGGTGGCGAAGGTATAGCCCTTGGTGGCGAAGGTATAGCCCTTGGTGGCGAAGGTATAGCCCTTGGTGGCGAAGGTATAGCCCTTGGTGGCGAAGGTATAGCCCTTGGTGGCGAAGGTATAGCCCTTGGTGGCGAAGGTATAGCCCTTGGTGGCGAAGGTATAGCCCTTGGTGGCGAAGGTATAGCCCTTGGTGGCGAAGGTATAGCCCTTGAGCGTGAGCCAGTGAGACACTCGGTGGCCGAAGAGGGAGAAGCAGTGCAGATTCTGTGAAAGCGGGGCTGGGATGGGGGACAAGGGGTGGGATGAAGGGAAATGTGAGATCGTTGGGTGCAACTTCTTCATGGCATGGCCCTTGGTGGCGAGGCTTGTTGAAAGTGGGATGCGGAGCAGGGCAGACAGCAGGTAGTAGATTGTTGGCAAGAAAGTGGGGCTCGTTGAGTGAGTATCCGTGGGGCACTTTGTTCACATAGCAAGAGAAGCTTCACGTAGCAAGAGAAGCAGGGCACGGCATTATTTCTGAATACAAGGTTGTAGGGTTGTTGAAGACACATTGGTTGAAGAAAGAGAGGCATGCAGGGTGAGGGAAACAAGAGAGGCATGCAGGGTGAGGGAAAAGTTGGGGAATTCTTGCACGCTGAGGTGCCGTGCCTCAGACATTGTTGCACGGGGAAAAAATTGACTGCAGGGATGAGAGCAAAGGCAGCATAATGCTCGAACCATCACCATGAACCGAGGCAGCAGCATTAGCTCCGTTGACACTGTCAAGCACAGCATAACCATCAGCACACCCGCACTCACTCACACGACCTGCTCGCCTCTGAATCCTCCAAACTCCTCCTCCAGTGCCTGTGGCAGGTGCCAGTGGAAGAGCGTCACACACGGCGTGATGCCTGTGCAAGAGGGGAACCGGGGGATGGGAGGGGAAGGGGCAGGGGGGGGGAGTGGGGTGGTGGAGGAGGGATGAGGCAGCAGAAAGCTCAAGGAGCGTAATGAGGGCCCAGGCGACTTTGTTGTTGCCTGGAAGAACAAGCTTCTGCAGCCAGGATACGGCTTTCGAATCCTAGAACCACCCCCTCCTCCTTCCCTCCATTGGGGGGTCAGTCGTAGTAGTTCCCGCCCTCCTGGTTCATGGTAGGTAGGATGCTCTGCTGTCCTGCTGTGGTTCATATACGAAGGACGGAGAGAAGGAGATGTGCAGAGCTGTGCTAAGTGGCGCAATGAAGTGCAGCGCAGTTGCAATCAGTGGCCCACCGTTACGGAGCAAGCAGTGGATGAGGCGGTTGTAATACTCCACGCCCTCCTGGTTCACTGGCTGCCGCCCAGCTGTGAGCCAATGAGAGCAGGCACAGAGAGAAACAGAACGGAAGAATATAGCCAGGAGAAGTGCGATGGTTGTACGAATTGAACCAAACGCAATGGTGTGTTGTCTGCGAAGATCAAAGCCACGTGCAGGCGGGTACGAAGAGGGGACTTCAATCAATGCTCACGATTATGCAGTTACAGAAGACAACAGCAAGCATGAGAACGACGTGCACGTCTCTAGAAGTTTGCAAGACATGGTCTTTCACACTGAATGATTCTTCTTGTGCCTCTCACGGAGTGTGTTGTGGATGGTTCAGGGCATGGGCAAGGAGACGCGCACAGCACAGGGCGAAGAGTGTTGTGGTGGAGCACACAGGGCAGGGAAAGCGGACGCACAAGGGAGGATGAACGGACAGCTATTGGAGACGCAGTACGGTTGTGTGAGAATACCCAGAGTCGCCTTATTTTGGCGAGTCAGAGATCAACAATGGCTGACGCACATGGAAGGATGCGGGGCCAGCTGATGGAGAAGCGGTACGCTGAGAAGCCCAGATGCCTCGTCCTCCTGCATGCACAGATGCACGCATGGGAAGGAGGGGAGGGATGTGGAGTGTGGAGTGCAGAGGGCACGGGAGGCGGGCATACAAGGGAGGCTGCGGAATCCATGCACTAGTAATGAGCTTGAAGCTCTTTAAGTAGATCTAGGATGAGCAAGGAATGGATGGGAAGGAGAATCGGGGGCAATCACTAGGGATTGGGGGTAATCCCAAAGCAAGCTCCAATTGGTGGGTAGGGGATTGCTTGGAGATCACATTTGGGTTTGGTTGGGATGTAGGTGTACACCCAACCAAACACAAAGTGCAAACTACACTACACTACGATATAGAAAGTGCAAGTTCAAAATGTGAGATTGAGGGCTAACACTAACAGCCCAGGTGCCTCATAAGTGCCACGTCCTCCTGCACGTTGTGTCGCGGTGAGGTCTGAGGTCTGAGGCAACTGGCTCGCCACACCCAGTAGCGAATATTCCTTCGGAAATGGTGCTTGGAACAAGCAGCAGGAAGATACAACGTGCATTAAACAGATACAGCGGTGCAGGAGGGTGTTGGTGGAGTGGCGTTGATTGGGTGGAGGTGGAGGGGCATGGCACGCACCTTGTATCGGTGGTATTGATCGCACGCCACGTCACCCGTGTCCCCATTGTGCGTCCTTCCTGTTCCACACAGGTTCACAGCACACAGGTTCACAGCACACAGGTTCACAGCACACAGGTTCACAGCACACAGGTTCACAGCACACAGGTTCACAGCACACAGGTTCACAGCACACAGGTTCACAGCACACAGGTTCACAGCACACAGGTTCACAGCACAAAAGCACTAAATCATGTGAATGTGTTCTCACACATGCTCGCACATGCTCGCATATGCTCGCACATGCTCGCATATGCTCGCACATACTCACACATACTCACACATGCTCGCACACGTAACATCGACATTTGGTGTGTTGTCGCACTGTCCTCTCCCCTTCGGCGGCTCACTCTCTTCTCCTCAGCCTTAGTACCCTGCTGACGCTCCAGGTCTATCTCCCATCCTCTTGTCCTTCCTCCGTTGGTACGTAATCAGTGGTTGCACCATACTCTCCAAGAGATCCGCACTAGGACAAACGATGTCCCTAGTTCTCCGCACACCCTCTGTTTGGCCTCTCTTTAGTGGATCAAGATTTGCTCCAGCCGATTCACTAGTAGAAGAGCATACAGGCATACCACAGTAGCGAGAGAACAAACAGAAGTGGTTTAGCTCTGTCACTCTACGAGTTTTGTTGTTCCCCTCCCCGAATCGCCCTAGGAGCACCTCCAACTGTGCATGAGACAACCTGTCAAACCTTTCTTGGTTTTCTCCGCCGTGAGGGCGCCTTGGGGTTTCCCTCGTGACCTGCCTTGCTTAGCTGGCCCTCTCCCCAACTCCCAACTCAGCTTGTCATGCCCCGCCGCCACGTCATTGTGGCCCCCATCCAACCGTACTTACCCCCTTTCGAGCCCTGCCTCGAGCTGTACCCTGAGTCCTCGGTTTCCTCGCGGTCTCCAACCTTAGCCACAACCACAGCTCTCTACACTCTTCGCGCTGTTACAATATTCCATATAACAATTTCAGTTCTATGGAATAATGTGACAGCTGTCGCACTGTCCTCTCCCCTTCGGCGGCTCACTCTCTTCTCCTCAGCCTTAGTACCCTGCTGACGCTCCAGGTCTATCTCCCATCCTCTTGTCCTTCCTCCGTTGGTACGTAATCAGTGGTTGCACCATACTCTCCTGCCCCCTCACGGCCTGCCTGGCGTCCCCGCTGGCATGTCGTGACGAGCCTGCCCTAGCAACATTCGAGATGTGATCTTGGATCACTCTGCCTGTCCCTCCCTCCAGTATCACCACTCCTGAGTCCTTCCTCGACCTCACCTTCCATCGTTCCCGACTCAACCCGCATTCTAAGGTGTCTCGCCTCTGCTGCCTCAGATACACTTCGTCTCCTACGTTTATCACCCTAGCCCCTTTTGCATTAGCACCGGCCTCCATCCTTCTCTGCCTGTAGCGCCGGGCATCTCTGATCTGCGCCACTTCCAAATTCTCCCAAGCCGCCGGCATTGCGGTCCTCAGATAGCTGGCCCTGGCTGCTGCTACCGCTGCCCACTTTGCCGGGTCCTCTACTGACATTGACTCCACCATTATCCTGGGGGCATCCACCGGTAAGATCGGTTCCTTCCCAAAGAGCAAGTAGTACGGCGAGTAATCCTTCAGCGCCTGTTGCTTGCTGAATCGGTACCCCGCCACTACCCATGGGAGTTTGACGTCCCAGTCCCTCTTCTCTTCTTCTTCACAGTATTTCCTCAACCCCCTTTTTATGGTCTGCACCATACGCTCCGTCAGGCCATCTGATTGTGGATGATACCTGGACGTTCTGCGATGTGTGATGCCCACCTCCTTCAGCATCTTGTCAAATTCCCCCGCGAATTCGCTGCCCTGGTCTGTGAGGACCTCTCCACACGCCCCGAACCTCGTGAGTACTTGTTGCACAAACGCTTCTGCAACTGCTGCTGCTGATTTCCGCACCAGCGTGGCTACCTCCACCCATTTACTGGTATGCTCTATCATCACCAAAATGTACTGCTTACCTCTCCTGGACAGAGGCAGCTCTCCTGCAATATCTAGAGACCACCTGTACCCGATGCCTCCAATCGGCAGCGAGTGCAGCTCCGCTTTGGCCTTCTCCATCGTCGCCCGGTTCCTGCTGCATGGTTCACATGTCTCTAAGCGTTCCTTCACCTCTCTCCTGAGGCCCACCCACTAGTACATTGTCTGCAATAGTTGTACCGTCCTTTCCACGGCGAAGTGCCCCAAGCGGGTGTGCACTTTCTGGATCAGCTCTTGCCTCTCCTCGGGTTTGGGTACGATTCTCCACCCGTCCTCTGTCAACAGTTGTAGCTGTTCGTCCTGCCAGCGGTAGTGAATCCCTCGGGCTCGTACTCGCTCTGGCACCTCTTCTCCCTCTGCCCCCAGGCCTTTCACCCATCGTAGTACCGGCTCGTCCAGCCAGATCTCCTTGTTGCCTTTATCCGTTTCTGTCCTCCTCCTCCAGCCTTCCCGTTCCGCTGCTACGGCCAGGCAGGCTAGTCCCGCTTCCGAGCTCCTCTGGTTCTCCCTTCTCTCTTCTGCTCCTTGCCTAGACAGCCCATCTACATGCTGCAACGTCTTGCCCGGCCTGTGCTTCACCTCGAATTCGAATTCCTGGAGCCTCATCGCCCACCTTGCGTTATGGCCCTTCAGCGTTTGGTTCCTCATCAACCATAACAGAGGTTGATGATCCGTAACGAGAGTGAACTTGCGTCCCTGCAAGTACGCTCTGAACAGCTCCACCGCCCAGACTGCTGCCAGCCCCTCTCCTTCATACGAGCTGTAATTGCTTTCGGCAGGACTGCAGGACCGGCTCGCGTATGCCACCACTCTTTCCGTGCCTCTTTCCTTCTGGCAGAGGACTGCCCCCAGCCCGCTGCTGCTCCAGTCAGTATACAAGGTGAATGGCTCCTCGGGGTCCGGCAATTTCAGCATGGGTGCTGTCTTTACCGCTTCCTTCAGGACTCTCCATGCTCCTTCCTGTTCTTCCCCCCATTCCCATCCTTGATCTTCCCTCAAGAGCATATTGAGGGGCCTTGCTGTTTTGCTGAAGTTCGGTATGAACTTCCGGTAATAACTCAAGAACCCGAGCTGGGCCCTGAGCGTGCTTCGGTCCGTCGGCGCTCTCAACCTGTCCACCACTTCCACTTTGGCCTGCTGCACGGACAGACCTCCTTCTCCCACTTGAAACCCCAGATAAGCCACTGTTGTCACTCCAAATGTACACTTCCCTGGGTGACATGTTAGTCCCGCAGCTTGGATGGCTGCCAGGGTGTCAGCCACGTCTTGAATGTGTCTCTCTGCATCCTCGCTGTAGATCACCACGTCGTCAATGTAGCACAGTGCACAGGTCAGCCCTTGTAACACTTGGTCCATGACCCGTTGGAATTTTGCCGACGCGTTTTTCAAGCCGAACGGCATGTAATTCCACTCATAGAGACGGTCGGGTCCATGAAACGCAGTCTTCTTCTTGTCTTCCTCCTTTATTGGAATTTGATTGAACCCTTGCCGTAGATCCAGCGTTGAGTACACTCGGCCCTTCGACAGCTTGTCGAAGATCTCCTCAGTTATTGGCATGGGGTACCTGTCACTCTTCGTCACTTGGTTCAAGCCCCTATAATCCCCACACATCCTGCGGGCCAAGGTCTCTCCTGTGAGGTCTTTCCTGGCAACCACTACGGTCGCCGCTGCGTATTCTGACGTGGACTCTCTGATCAATCCCGCCTCCAGAAGCTCCTGACATTTTTCTGCTGCCACATCCCTGTCCCCGGGGCTCATTCTTCTCCTTCTCTGATAGACCGGCACCTCAGTCTGGAGTTCTATCTCCATCTCTGCTCGATTGCATTTCCCCAACTCCTTCAGTGAGTATGCAAATGCTCCCCTTGCTTTGGCCAAGACCCGTCTCAGCTTTTCTTTCTGCTCCTGACTCAGGGCCTCGCCAATGGTCCAGCTTGCTACTTCTTCCGTCTCCTTTTCACATCCTCCCCCTTTCGGCGCACTTTCCGCTTGCTCTTCCCTCTCTGCCGTCTCTTCCGCCTGACTGTTCTCTGGTTGCTTCGCCATGAGGTGAATCCCTCGGCTGTTCAGCATCCCTTCCTGCCACTCTCCGCGCGCCAGCTGATCAGCCCTCATCCTTCTCCATTCAGCCGCTAGCTCCTGCGCCTTTTCTGGTTCGCCCTCGGTCATCTCCATGATGTCTGCCCACCTCCAGTGCATCAAGAGTTGAGCCCTCATCACCTCCTGCCTCTTCTCTGCGCGGTATAGCAGCCACACCAGCGCATGTTGGTCAATCGCTCCTCCCAGAGCTCTCCTGCGAGCCTCTTCTGAGACTCCTTCTGCCGCTGTGGCGTTCCGTAGATACCCCATAGCTCTTTCTCTTTCTACCGCCAGCGGTTCCTCCCATTCTCCCGTCTCTATTACCTGTACCATCCCCGGTCCCGGCTGATCTCCTTCTTTCCGGAAAGCATAGCTGCCTGGAGAGGCCACCAAAGTGGGCCACGCCTGTCGAGGTGCCCCCACCTCATTGCATGGGTACTGCAGCTTGCAATCTGGCGACGTGACTGGGGCGGGCCTCCTCCCCGGCTCCAGAATCTCCTGGACCAGTCGTGGCATCGGCCTCTGCATTCTCCCCAGCTGGTCCCTTAACACTGGCTCGGGCACTAGGTTCTGCCAATACCGCCTCACCCGATGTGCCCTGGCCCCCATCTGAGCAGCATCCCACGCTACCCCATGTCCCAGCTCTCTGGTCACCGCCTTGTGAGCTTCTCGGACTAGGGCCCTCTCGTCCTCCGCCACGTCCAGGTTCTCCACTATGTACGCGAATGGTCCCTGCCGCCTCTTGATTAATTTCATAATCCTGATCATCTCCTGGAACAGTCCCGTGCGTGCATCCGTCATTCCCCTTCCTTGGCCTGCCCTTGGCAGGCCCTGGCACTCCCATCCCGCCACCATTAAGTCTATGTCTCCCCATGTTTCCACCACTCCTTCATCTACCATCTCCACTTCTGCCAGGCCTTCCGCTTCCACCTCTGCCC